CCTTTTCCAACTTCACTTAATTCTTCTTCCCTTAACCTGAATGTATTTTAAGAAAAACTTAACATTTCTTTATTAGGCATAAAGCCTCGTTTGCTGTTTACTGATTTCTTAGGTTTTGAATGCAGTATTTGCTGAGCTATTTTAGTAATCCAAAGTGTAATACTGTCTGAGGCTAACAGCCAAAAGCTGTATTTTTTTTATTAGTACTAGTGATTCCTCAGTATTTTAATTTTTTTGAGACTTCACTGGTTGAATCCTGTTAATGTGCCATTTTAATATTAAAGTACAATGTTTAGGCTAGAAGCTGATTTTTTTTTAAGTTATTCCCTTTGGTGTAATTGGTTATACCCCTTAGCTCTTTTCAGACCAGTTTGAAGCGTAAATGAGGGTAAGCACTCTGTTTTTGCAAACTAGATGTAAAAGCACCCTTTAAAGAGCTCAGCTTTTAAAGTACTAAAAATGGTAACAGAACTGGTAGAGCAAAACCTGTTTTTGAGGTGTGATGTTGTGGTAGCCAAGAGAGCTGATGTGTACACTGATGGGAGTACCCTGTGGAACACTTCAGTGAGGATAGAGGTGTTATACAAACTGGAAGTACATCAGATGAGAGATGCTCCTTATGTTTTTGAGAAGTGCTTCGGTGCTCAAGCACACCGTGAAGTTTGTGGCGAGCACGCTGAAGTCCTGTGTGCATGGGTCCGCTGTCCTGTTGGAGTTTTCCATCTACACCCCATGGCTCACAGGAAGCCCGTAATCTGTCAGGTTATGCTGAGATCCATAAAGATCCAAATATGTGATCTTACGCATATCTCTGCAGTCTTGTGTGGGACAGAATTTTGTGGACTGCTACTTTAATGCAGTCCCTTTAATAAAGCTTGTCTGGATTTAAAAGAAGTCAGTTGAGACTTTGTTTTTCTTTACATAATAATCAGTTCATCAGTACATGCCTGTGTACAACGGAGAGCTTCAGAAATAGGGTTGTCAGCTTTGTTTTTGGGTTGAGACCAGAGAGAGTGGCTTACAAGCTGATACAGAGGCTTTGGTATTTTGCATAAAGAGATGGTTTGGTCTTTGGTCTTTATCAACCTAAGGTAGAAATGAAGACCAGAAGTCAGCCAACCATAAGGACTGTGGTAGCAAACTCAAATGAAGATTAATTTACAGTGTTTTAAAATTGGAAAAGTAGTTTTGAAATATGTGTTTGTAAACCCTAGATGCAGCAGCCTTCCAAAATCCAATTTTTTTAATCATGTTTAGACTTAACTCATCTGCTAACCAGGGGCAAGAAGGATCTCTTGTATTTACACCAGTCTCAGTCAGAAGTCCTCCTTTTGGGGCCAGTATTGTGGTTATAGTTAACATCTGGAGTGCTCATGATCATCTGCATAAGGCCTATTAGCCTTCGTGGTATCCTCCTGGCACTGTTCAAATCCAACTGGGTTTGCAATGATGTTGTAGTTTTAAAACAAACAACTGTGTGCTTGGGGACAAAAATACCCTTCTTATGAAGAACTCTTGCATACTTTGTTCCAGTTACTCCACTTGATAAATCCTTGATTCTGTTGCCACTTGCGTGTCCAGTGGTACTCCTAAACGGCTGTTGCAAGGAAACTTAACTGAGTACCATTTGTGCAAGACTTGAATTCACTTAACTTTTAAAACCTAGGATTTTAAGAACAGGCTAGATCTTGGCGAAGTAGTCTGTTGTCGTGTGTATCTTATTGTGGGCTGGGAAAGGCATGTGAGGGGAGCTGTTTTCAGTGGTGCATGGTCGTCTTACGTGCTAATGGAAAATCGACTCGCTGCGTTTTGTTTCTTCCTTCATCTTGAAGATTTTTAAAATTTGTTTTGTGGTATAGTTCCTCTTAGGCGTGGTGTGGTTCTGGAGGTAGTTTCCAGGGTAGATGTAGCGGGAACTAGACTGCATTATCTTTTAAACCTTAAAAATTAGCATCTTACGTAAGAAAAATAACTTCAGAACTGAATTTGGAAAGATTAGATTGGAATTGCCTCAAATCCAATTAAGCCACACTGCATGGACGTGCTGGGAATATAAATGCAATTACTGTAAATTTGTACGAACTGATTTGTTGCATTATCTTGCTAATCTAACATATGGTACTTTCTGTGTCCATATTGCAGACGGCAACTCCAAACTAACATGGCAGTCAGACTGTGTGATGTGGCTTCTCTGCTTAGAAGTGGTTCGTGGGCAGCAGAGCCTTGGACTGGGGTCTGTGGGATTTTTCTTAAATTCTGTAGGCTTCTTTTGTACATGTTAATAGTGCTGAGGCCATACCAAACTCTTCAATCTCCCATTTGAAACATGAACTTTCTTCTATGTTTCGTTATAGGCTGTAGGTTGTGTCCCTATTCTGTGAGAGCCTAGAGCGCACTGGCGTACCATGACAACTTTTTCTATAATATGGTGATCTCCTGTAGATATTACACTGCAGTGGCTTGCCTTTCTTCTAATGTCAATTATATTTTAGTACTAATTCAAAATACCCGGTGGATAATTGAAGAGTAGTATTGTACTAAAATCGTTTTGGTATGGTCTGAATACTAAATTGCAGTAACTGTAAAAACCTGTATGCTCTGTATTTATTATTACCGTTTTAAAAGTGTATTTACAAGTCTTATTCTAAGAAATTGTTTGAAAACTGTAAATTTATCTCTTAAACTATTTGTCTGGGTGCAAAAATATTTAGTAACTGCTGAAGAAGTGCTTTTGTGTTTTATGAACAGTTGTTTCCAACCTATCAATGGAATATGCATTATTTGTAAAACATATTAGTATCACTTTATTCAGAGCAGATGGTTCTATAGCTGAGAAATGCTGTAATTTCAGCATGCAGGCTACTGCAGCTGTTCACTTGAATGTTGGCTTAGGATCTCATTCTTGCCACCTGAACATGAAAATAAATGTGCAATTAAGCAAGGATTGTTTGCTGTCCTTGCTAAATCCTGCTAATTTTGAACAATGAACACTTTTTTCCTCAAATTTAAAGAGGAGGGGAGAAAAGCAATCCTAGAGAGCCTCAGTCAGAGCACAGTGTTTGTGGCTACTAGCTCTGCCAGATATAAGAGTGTTTTGAAAAGTAATTTATCTTAATTGGGATCATCTACTTTCTCATCTTTTCAGCAGACTTGTTTCATCACAGTGCCATGAGCAGATTACCCCTTGGAGTTTGTCACAAGGGAAGAAAATGTTGTTCCAGTTGTAGCTCCTCAGGAAAATTAGATTTCCTTTTTTATAAGTGTTTTAAATAGATGCATCTTAGGTTTTTTTGCATTGTGCTGAAGTAACCTCTTGGAAAATAACTTCGGTGTGCAGAACATGGAAATGTGTTCCCAGGAATGTCTGAATTGCAGTTTAAAACACCCAACTTACCCCCTCTGTTTTTAGGAAGTTCAGGTTTGCACTCCCTCAGTACAGTTGACCCAGTCAGCTGTTTGGGTGTGCGTTGATTGCATATGCTGCTTTGAATGGGACAACCTCCAGAGGTCCTGACATTACACTGTGATTTTACAGTGGGCTTTTTTGTGTGAAAACTCCTAGAAATTTAAGTAGGAGGTTGGATTTCAGTGATTGCTGGATTTTTTTTTGTTGATGAGTCTTGCTTCTGTGTTGAAGTGTTACTGGACAATCAATTTACGGAATTTTCTATTGGGCGTTGTCCTGCATGGTTGATCTCAAACGGGATAGGATGTCCAAGTCTTGGATATTGGGCTGCCATTAAAATTCTGCTGCATTTACCAACTGTCACCGTTCAGTGACTGAGATGGCAGAGAGCCTTTTGTGCATGTTGTAGCCTGTGGACAGGTACTGACGCTTCTCCAAATGACTGCTGCTGTGTATCTGCCAATCATAGTCACTTTGAGGCCAAACAGTACTTCCTGAATCATTAGAATCACAGAATGGTTTGGGATGGAAGGGACCTTAAAGACCATCCAGTTCCAACCCCCCTGCCATGGGCAGGGACACCTTCCACTAGAGCAGGTTGCTCCAAGCCTCATCCAGCCTGGGCTTGAGGTGATCACTCCCTTATTTTGATGTCTAAAAGGAAGTCAAGTTAAAATGTAAAACTTGAAAAAGTATCAAAACTGGTTTCAGGGTTCTGGGGAGGGAAGAAGTGAGAACCAAAAATTGTCCGTCTAATCAGATAAAAGCTTTTAGGTTGGAAGTATGTTGCTGTGATGACAGATGGTTCACATAGAGGTTATCACGGAAGAGTTTGTTTTCCATCCCAGCACACTCATATGTCTTAAAATATCTCTTCACATTACTAATCTTGCTTTCTGCTATTGCTTATGAGAAATAGGCTCAGGATACAGTTAACATGCTGTTAACTGAAATGCAGATACAAAATGCAGCTTTCAAAGAGAAAGTATTCAGTTATTTTTGAAATGTTATCAGTTTTAATTTAATAGAACTGATTATCCTTGGAACAGGCCAATTCTGCTTGATAACTTCTTGCTCCTAAATTAAGGGAATGAGGGAGGTTGGAAACTAAGCTTTGTGTGTTGACTTCGTTGAGAGAGCTCCCAGTGACTTTATTTGCATGTAAATATTGGCTTGACTAACAGTTAAAATGTTTCTCTGTTGGTGGTGTTTGGCATATAGAGGCAGTATATAGCCCTGGCCTTCAGTGACAGGTCTTCTGAAGTCTTGTCTAGACTCCGAATGGATGGTGAAATACGAATTTTGATGGTTCTTGTTTTCTGTGTTTTTCAGCAGGTAATTGCTGCCATGGAAACACAGCTGTCTAATGGACCAACCTGCAATAACACAGCCCATGGTTCAACGACCATAAACAACTGCTCATCACCAGTTGATTCTGGGAACACAGAAGACAGCAAGACCAATTTAATAGTCAACTACCTTCCACAGAACATGACACAAGAGGAACTGAAGAGTCTGTTTGGCAGCATTGGCGAGATAGAATCCTGCAAGCTTGTCAGAGACAAAATAACAGGTATGTTGGTTTTGGTATCTTCTGCATCTTTCCATTTTCAAAGCGGTGAGCTGCTGGATGGTGTCTTAGAATTCTCTTAAATCATGGAATAAAAGCAGAAGAAACCAGTGCTGATGTTGCTAGTCAGAAGGAACTTAGGCTCATTGTTTCTGAGATTCTGCACCAAAAAGTTGTCTGTATTTGTGTTTAATCCATGTTTGTATTAGTGCTATAAATGCTAACAGGGTATTTCAATCTTCTGAGCTTTAGAGTCTTTGGAAGAAGAGTCAGATGTGGAAAAGCAGATATTTATACAAGGTTTGCTTGAGTTTTATTCAATTCCATTGGACTCATAACTTCATTAGCTGTAGCTGATGTAAAACTTCCTTTTTCAGGGATGCAGATAACTAAACTTGTACCCTGGGAAAGGGGTGAATTTCGTTTATTCAGCTCTGTCGGTGAAGCTGCTTTTTGTATTGCAGCACTTGAGCAATTTCTTTAGGATGCACTCGAGTCAATACGTGCTGTCTGAGAGTGCAAATATGAACTGCAGTGTGATGTGTTCTGTTAGTACTTCATTTTAGCAACAGCTGGTGCACAGGTCGCATGTATTTAGGCCAGTTGTTTAACTTTGAAAGAACTACCAGATGGATGCCTGCACTTCAAAACAAGAATGAAAGGGTGGTTGGCAAAGTTCAGTTTGTCTCATCTCCATATTCCAATTCTAAGCTCTCTCAAATTAAAAAAACATTGATGTACCACTTATGTTGACATTTCATTAGTTTTGTTCAGAAATGTTGAGTTTGGTACTTTATTTCCTGTCACTTTTTTGCAGTCTTCAAATACTCAGCTTTCAAGAACGCATTGTTTTATTCTTGGTTGCAGCTCTTGCCTGTGCTGGTTAACTTCTGTGTGTTTAAAATTACCACACCCCTTCGAGGCTGCATGTTCTCTATGCTTTGGTTTCAGGGTTCAAGCCAAAACTTTACTGTTATGGAAGGGTAGTGGCAGAACATGGGCAGTTTTCTCACACTAAATAAATTTTTTTGTGACTTTGTTCCCTGAGCATCCACAGTGGGAAGTGGTAGGACAAAACTTTGACACAGACTGCATGTGGCTTCCAGCCCCTACTACACGTTTGTGTTGATGGCTTGTGTGTGTTGCAGAGGTGTGTATATGAACCGTGGAGGACAAGGCCTAAAAACCTTCAGGCAGTTCTGTCACCAACCCCAGGACTTTTCTTTGGCATGCAGCACACACTTTCTCCTCTTGTCCTGATATTTGCTCCTCTAGTATGGCAGAAGGAAGTTACACTACCTTTTCCCACACTGATGCAAACCCTGTTGTGTCAATGACACAAGGATGATCCTTAAACGAGAATATGGCAGCAAAAAGACATCAAGGACGTTATTTCCCAAGTGTTCAGTTCATCTACATCTGTACCTGCTAAGGGTGAGCAGAGTGAGCTAGGTTAGGGACCTCCTCCTAAATTTGACCTGTATTCTGCTGCACAGTGGAACTGACTTTAGTCAAAAAAGGTACAGGCTCTTGCTAATACAGAGTAGTTTAATTGCCAGTGCTTATACTTGAATTCTGCTAATACACAGTGAAAATACTGATACGACACTGAATAATCATGATCTTTTTTGCCTTTTTCTGTCATGATTCTCTGCATACTGGAGACAGCAATTGTGACTGTGTTAAGTCCTTTTTACTTGTGCGTGGTGGGAGAATAACCTGTTACATGTAAAGGGATGTTTTTGGCATTGGTGAGTCATGATTATAGGTTTTGGCTGCTGTCCTCTAAACAGTTTTGTTGTTAAACCACAATTCAGTGCCCCCAGTCACACGGTGGACTCTCAAGTCCTACTTTGTGGCATGCCTGCTGTTCAGCTCTATGCAGCCTCAGTTTTGTGCGTGACTTCAGGTACCTTACAGAGTAGAACTACAGAGAAGGAGAAATGTCCACAGTTGGGCCTAGAGGGGTAGTGATGTACTTCTGAGGCTGCAAGAATGGGATTTTTTTTTTTTAAGTCTTCGTCTCTTATACTGACCATTCTACGCACAATTTGTTAATTTGAAAGCAAATTCCTCCAAAACAAGGGAATCCTGACTCAAGAGTATGACTCGTAAGATCACTGTCAGAATCTATACTTCTGTTTTGGTAAATTCACTAGGGCATGCTGCATGGCTGTTCCTCATTTCAGGTAATGACTGAGGACAATTTATGACATAGGGACCATTTAGAGGCACAAAATGAGTCTAGCTAAGAGGCTGCCTGAAGCCCAACCTGATCCTTTGGCTTCCTTCCTACTGAATAGTCTCTGGCTGACTTCTGGCTTATGTGCCTTTGTATGACTGTTGCTTTGCCTCCCCTTTCCATCTGAATGACCAGCACTTCTTCCCATTGCAGTTGTCTTGCTCTTTAGATGTGCCACTAATGTCTTAAGTGCCCTGTTTCAGCATGGTAGCCTTAGCTACTGAAACCACTACTTTTAGTCCTTCTGGGGTGACCAGATGTCAAAGCAATCACTGATCTACCCTGTGAAGAATACTGAGTGTGCTTGGGGATGCCAAAGAAACTATCTGGGGCTGATGCCACACCTTGCTGTCTGCAGCTGAAGGCTGGCAGATGTGGAAAACAAACATGCCTTCTCCTGACCTTCTGTTGCAGGAGTGGAAAGATGTAACTGGTACTTGATTGCGTAGTGGGTTGGCTATTCAAAGTGTTTCTGTCTTGTTCTCCGAGTTCACGTATTTAGCATTCCATGTTAAAGTTGCTTAAGGATTACATGTTTCTCCTAATTAAGAGGTTGCTGCAGGCTCACAGAAGTGAGCCTCAGGGTCTTACTGTTGGATGTGCAAATTGCCCACATCCTTAAGTGGTAGTTCTGAAGTTTTACATGCTAGAAGCTCACTGGTCTGCTACTTAGTGTTAGAAGACTTCTTGCCTGGGAATGGAATGGAGCATGATTTAATTGCAGGCCTCGTTTGAAGGTGTGATGTCTTCTGTATAGCATAAAGTGATGCCTAAGAAGGATCCTGAATTTAAATTACGTTCTTAGTAGGTGAGAACTCCAGGGGTGGAACTGCTAGAGATACAGTTGGTGTTTCTTCTTTATCAGAGGGCAGCTCCACTTCATAATTTCAACTGCCAGCAAAAATACTGCACTGGTCTTGTTCCACAAGGTTTTAGTATAAAGGAGGAGTGTGGTGTCTGGCCTTATAACTGCATTATAAGGAGCATTACTCTGATCCTCCAGTAGCCTGGAGCAAAATTACCTTATGTTTGTGGGTGCTGGGGAGAGAATGCTGTAATTCCAATCCTGATCAGGTTTTCTGCAGAGTTCTTAGAAAGCACATTTTCTTTCCTTTCTACAATTCAGAATGGGAATTGTTACCAGGTTTCTGTAAAGGAAGAGATTTGGCACGAATTTCATGATTATATTGGTTTAATTCCTGTGTTAAAATTAACTTACTTCATCTTAAATGAACTGTCATGAGTACTAGATGCTTGGTGAATATCTTTTAGTTGATGAGAAGTTTAGGGGAGCATAAAAACTGAAATACACTTTCATACAGGCTAAACTGCAAATGAGGATTGATAAGGGGCAAAGCTTTGGTCTGTCTTGGACTGTCTAATTCAGCTTTGTCCATACCGGTATTGGATGCACTCTCCTGGGTATGTCATGAGGTGAAACTTGGTTTATGATATGGTGGAACCGAGATGTGTTTGCCAAGCAGAAGAGACATCTTCAGTACAGAAACACTAAGAAATTTGTTATTATCTGCATAGATAAATTAAATGAAACATGCAGGTAAGTTAGTTTTCATCAATAAAACGTTATCTGATGAAGAAAACAAGATATGAAGAGCCCTGCTACATACTGGGTCATCAGTATCATAGGTTGAAATCCAGAGGGCTACTGCCACCTTGACCCAAGTACTTGTTAGATCCACTTGTACCCTGTGGATTTGAACCTCATCATCTCCCACCCTATTACTGTCAGTCTGCAGTCACATCGGCAACACTGGTGTGTTTGACTGCATTACAGCACTGCTCCAGTTCCTTGAAGTTGTCTGCATTCTTGAGGATTTGAGGTAAGTTGAGCTTGAGGGCCTCCCTGCCCTTGCAAAACCTACTGGAAGGAGGGGAAGCACTGTGGAGTTCACTCTTTAATTTCACGTGGGCAGTTTAAAACCTTCTTTCTATGATTCTAAAGGGCTGTTTGTGTACTTTCAGTAATGCTTGGAGTGGATTTTGATAAAAAGCACTAATGGTTTAAACCAATGGTTATAGATCCTAGCAGTGTACTGTCAGCACAGACTTTGTGTCCCTTACTGATTCTTATCTAAGGGTTCAGATGTGAGGGAGGTAGGGAAGAAAGCTGAGTTGCAGAGGATTCCTGCAGTTCATGGGCACAGCATGCTGTTGGGGCAACTTTTGTAGCCCCAGCACTGAAGTTTACTTGCTCAGCTGATGGAAAAGGAAAAACACTGGAAGTGTTCTCAGCAAGAACTAAAATAGCTGATTGCTGTGCTGTTGTTCTACTGAAAGTAAAGAAATTACCTTGATACTAATGAGGATTTTAAAGGGTGCTGAATGAGTCTCTTCATGTGAGAAGCCTATTGAGAAGAGCAGCTTTCTGAGAAGTGGGGCATGAATGTCACTTTAATCTTCATTTGCTAACCACAGAATCTGTCTGGAATGAGACATTGTGCCCAGATATTTTGGAGCCTGTGTAAGCTCATGCTTTCAGCTACTGCAGATGGATGTATATCCAAGGCAAAAACTACCACATGAACTAATTATAGTTGTATGATAGGTGAGCAACCGTGGTCTCAACGAAGTGTCTTAACTGAATTTTCATCAGCTGCTCTAGATGGCTGTTTAATTTAATTTATTGAGTGCTTTTGCGTATTTAAAAGCAGCAGATAACATTTTATTTAATGTTAAGCATGAGTAATTATAAAAATTAAGCTGAAAATACTTGAAGAGGGTGAAATGGGATCAAGTGTAA